TCCTCTGTTGCTGGAGTAATCTTCCTAGACGTGTAGAATTGAGCGCCTAGCCATGTACATAAACAGGTCAGAAAGCTCATGCTTCAAGCTGTTTACAAAATCATCTTTCTGGGGAAAAGAAACAGGACTTGAGTTCCTAAGTGACCGGTCATAGCAAGCCAGGTCCTGTTGAAGACGTTCACCGCCCTACATAAGCCGCCCAGGATGTAGAGATGTTTCTTGCTCATGGTATAAAGTAATTTTCACATGGAACATACAAGATATTAAGTTTGCAGGCATGTAGAATGGGTACTGACGATCTTGTATATCTTTATCAAGTAGAATTTGTAGGTTTGAGATGGATGCTTGATCAAATTATTAGAAATCTCAACACCAGATTGCATTAGTGGCAGAAATAGTATAGTACCCTTAAGGCATAACCATATTGAGTGCAAACAAGGCCATTAAAATCCATTTTACATTTTACAGTAAATCTGAAATTCAACCCTTGCTACTATCAGCAATCCCTTGTGTGCCAAGAAAGAGTGTGCACATAAAGCAAGATTTGTGGAGATAAACATTAGCTTAGAGAGTGGCAAAATTAAGAACATGATGGCATATTATTTTCCCTCAGCACAATCGTGCACCCAAGTTTTATTTCCCTTCATTATGCCAATAGCGTAGGTGGTCTGGCAGACACTAGGACTACACAAAATCAAAAAGCTTTTAGCCAAGAAGTCAAAAACACTGACAGCAAACAAACGCAATTGTAGCATGAAAAAAAGGCTATTCAGATTAAAGACAACATATTGTTTGTTTCATATGAAACAAACCTAACGGCTACATTATGGCATTGGATTCCAGCTGTACTCGCAACTCATCAAATTCCATATAAAGAGAAGAGGCCATCATTCTCGTACCAAACATTTTGACTTCAATAATAATTCAGATCAACAACCTCACCACCCAGATCACATTCATAACAGCAATAACGCATGTTACTGTTATTTTATTAGCATAATGCCAGGGGATTTTTCCAGTTCCAGGACAGGTGCCAGGCGTGACGTTCATTTATGTAATGTAATCCTTGCAACACAGTATAAAGCATGAAGAATTGGGGATGTTTGCTCATCATGATAACGTGCAGTGCAGCCAGTGAGCAATAATGGGGATACAGGAAAAAGTAAGAGCAATTCTCATGCATGTTATAGGCCTAGCAGTGAAATCACCACCATAAGGATTGATGGTATTTCGACTGATACTGAGATTCTGTACTACATCCACAAGCCTTTCTACAAGGGCAATGGCTCTACGGCTTTCCTAAACTCTTCAGGTATTTCATTATACACAACACCTACATAACAAGATGAAATCACCGCTTTGAAAACACCACCAAGATCAACATTGACATAGAAACTACAATCTTGAAACCAGAGGTTTCCCAGAAATTCTGTTTCTCAGCACCCCCAGCTCCACATTGTTGTTTTGCTGCCAGCTGATCTCGAAGTTCTTTTATAGCTTTGTCCCTGCGCTCTCCCATCTGCCAAAATAGGTAGGATGAGCACATTGTACAACATGCAACTGAAGAAGACTCCATAAAAGAGTGGTAGTTTTGTGAAAGGAGAAAGAAAGAACTTCAACATGCAAAGGGGAATATGTTTGCAGAGGCTATCCAAGTTCAGAGTTGGCCCGATATATAGAAGTAACATAGTCGAATGTTTAAAGTGAACAATAGAACCCTCAACCATTATTTATGCAATGAAAATTGTATCAGGAGCCATTTTTACTAGAAGGAAAATTGGTACACTTGGTTCAGTAACCATGAGTGATTCAGCATAAGGAATGGGCCAACTTGAACTGAGGGTGCAGTCCATTAATGGACAGTTAGTTCAAACAGGGATCTAAACAAATTAGCAATCCAAGCAGTTTCAGTTCTGAATTTTGATGCAAACAATATTTAAGAAACAGCACAGCGGTGGAGAACTCACTAGCAGCAGACAATCACTAGAACTCTAAGAAGCAAGATATTAAAATTACCCTTTGGAGTTTTCGTGTCTGAGCACGAGCTTCCTGGAGACAAAATTCCAATTTCAACACCCTCTTTTTCAGTTCCTGATCAGCTCGTCGCTGTTTCTCTAACTGCTCCATGAAATAGACAAAATCAATCGTTAAAAAATATATTAAATAAATAAAAAAATGTAACCTGGTTATCAAATTCAAGGGATGCTTTTTTCAAGGCAACTTATGCAGATGCATGAAAATACCTGAGATTCCAATTCCTTGGTTTTGAGCTTCCAGTGGGCAGACATAATCCTGATTTCATCTTTCAGTTTGGCTATTTCTTCATCCTTAACAATCAAAAGTTTATTAATCTTTTCATAATTCTTGGGAGAAACCTCATCCAACAGTTTCCTGAGCTCACAGTCCTTGTTTGCTCCTGCCTTAGCAACAGCTTGCATGATATCATGCTCAATTCTCAAGACCTCATCTTTCAGCTGCTTTTGGGAAGATTCCCTTGCCTGGAGATCCTTCTGCAAATTATCTAGTTGCTCTCCTAACCTAGTTACACGATCCTCATGCTCTCTCAGTGAACTATTCTTCTCATCCAATTCCTTTATAAGTGCTAAACACTGAAGCTGTGCTGACTGAGCTGATGCAGCACTGGCATCAGCAGTTGCTTGAGTGACTGAAAGCTGTGATCTAAGATCATCCAATTCGCTGAGGTACTGAGAGTTACATTATGAACTCGTATTAGAATCCTAGAAGGGGATTAGGCTAAACAAAATTGAAAATCATTGAAGCAGTAACACAAAAAGAGACACTTTACATGAAAGCTAAAATAGATAATGAAGTAGAAAAAGATTATAAATGCAGGCCCAAGATAGCCTCGTAGCCTTCAAAGTTGAAGGCAACATATTAGTGCTAATACCCATCACAGTGTTGCATTTCATTGCATGCACCGTGCATTTCACAATAGATCATTTTCTTTTCAATACGTAAGGACATATTTGACCTTCTTTAAGAATGAAATTAGTGAAAATCGAATTATGATCTGACAGCACACTTGTAAAAATAGATCTCCGGGGATGGAAACTATCAAGTTGTAATTAAAATTGCTACCTCATTTGGTGCCTTCTATACAAAATCCATAAAATATGTCAAGTTGTTTAAAGATTTTATTTCCAAGTTCTGTGTTTCTCGACCATTGTCTACAATGAAGAGGAAGGATAATCTCCAACTTTAAACAAAATAAAGGGAGGTTTCCTTGACAGCAATTAGTGAAGGGGATACCAGCACATGTCTCAATTGCTGCAATGTTACCATCAAATCAAGACATCATTAGACATGAGGTTAAAGTTTAGCATCTTCATTCAAATATCATTTTGGCTTTACCATTCAATATAATGACTAGATTAAATTGCAGAAACTTAAATTGGATCATATGCCAATATAATTCAAAAAGCACACAGTCAGATCACACTTGAAAAGAATTTCTAGCAGATAATCCTACTACTAAGTAAAATGAAATTCAAGTTCTTATACAAATATTTTGACCAAAAAACAGGAATTTAAAAATTAATCAAGAGTGTTATGAAAAAAGGACTTATTGTTTTTACACTAAAGTCATAAACATTCCTCAGTTAAACTAGTTAAGTTACCTTAACAAAAGTGGAAGCAGTTTCCATCATGCTTCAAATTTCTTAGATGGAGAAGAATTTATAAGTCAATAAGACCAGCTTTCGAATAATGCATCAAACAAGTAAATTTATTAGTTGGCAAAATATGATACTGTTGTATGGCTGCATAAAGTATGATTGTGTGACCAACCTAGCTTATCTCATGTGTAAAGACAACAATTTCCTGACTTACTTAAGTTACAATAAAGAGCAAACATTAAAAGAAGATCAGAAACACCTGGTCACCTTTCCTTTGATGGGCTCCGCCAAAAATAACCAAAGAGGAAAAGCCAAAAGACATGCTAAAAGATATGTGCATCATTAACAACTTTAAAAGATCAAGATGCCAAAAAAAGAAGCCATTTTAGGACAGATCAACTCAATCAACATAGCACATAATACCATCATTAGGGCATCATAGTTTGATGAAGAAACATAATGACAGTATTATAACGCTAAGTAATCAG